CGTGCATTTTTTCGTTTGGGCCGCTCACCTCCTAGGAACCCCACATCAGCCTCCCTCGGCTGACAGTATCCTTGCACAAGAGACCACACCTGCACAACTGGAGACCCCTCCACTCTATCTGAAAGGACCGGGTGAGTCTGCAGTGGGAGGACGTCTATGATATACCCCTGAGTGAATAAAGCGAGCTGCAGAAAAACATATAATATGGTCTCACTTTTCAATAAAGCATATATACACATACTTATGCATAGATTTCTCATATATGTGTATATATACGTATGTCATAGGCACAAAGTTCATGAAATACATACACCACATTGTCAACAGCTTTTACTGTCAGGAAATAAGAGAAGGAGAGCTAGGGGCCTTTCATTTTTCACTTGATACCACTCTTCTGTACCACCGCAGTTCTCTTTTCAATATTTCAGTTAAGTACACTTGGAATTTAAAAGGTTATTTAAGTCCGAAGTAAAATGGACGATGCCTCCACAAGACAGAATGCTATACTGGTCATTAAAAATCATGCCACGGGAGATTAAATATTGTAGAAAAACATGTAATTAGCCGAATGGAAAATGGAGGTCTCCACACATGTGTTTTATGACAGAAGTGATACACACTGACGAAAAGAACAAAAAAAAGATTTTAAAGTTTTAATTATTCTCTCTGTGTAGCAGGGTCAAGATAGCCTCTTTTACCCCTTTTTTCAGACTTATTATATTAAATACACATTATTTTTCATCTGAAAAAAGCATTTTTAGGTGTGTAGTACCACACATTGGAGAAAATACACGAGTACTTACAGAAACAAGTAACTAGGAGTCACCGCAGCAGCGCCACACAATGTAGAACGGGCGATCCTGATTAACACCGCGCAGCTACATAAGGACCCACAAAGTGAGGCACAGCTGTAACAGGGCGTGGCTCCCTTCTATTTGTCAGTTGTGTCTTCAGGGCTGAGGCAGTTCTGAGCACAGCCAGTGTCAATACTGGTGTCTGGATGGATGCCACTGGAGGTGAGGGCACCTGCAAGCCGAGAGAAAGAACAGAAATCATCTTCTGCCTTTTCTGTCTTTTTCTTTGTTACTTTAAAAGAGAGGCACAAGTAAGGTAAACTGTGAAACTTCCTGACTGAAATTTCAGTAATGAAACCATTTTTAAAGTTTTCATAACTTACATTCGGCCGATAAGTGTCTTTTCAACAAGCATCATATTTATTAAATGTTAATTAATTCAGTTAAATAACTCCCTGTTGAAACTTTCTATTAAAGAAGATGAAGTGCACTACATAAAAGCACCAAGCCTGCAGTGACCAGCTCGGCTGTCTTCATGGCAGTGCAGTCAGCCCCCACCATCCCGTGGCACTGAGTTCCTGATGCTGGTAAGAGAGCACGCTGCCGCCTCAGATGGAGCGGAAATATGTGAAAGCATTTTCTGAAGTCTGCAGCACTGACAAAACAGAATTGACAAATCCCAGGCCCCTTTGAGGCTGCCACTTTCTGTTTCTGGCCAACCCCCATCAATGAGCCGAACCACCCCATTCCCGAGCCATGGGACTCACGTGGGAAGGAATTTTGGAGATATTTCCAGGTATAGAATGTAACCAGCTATACATAGGACTGTGACAAAAGAAAAGATGAAATACTCTGATTTTGGAAGACACCCAAAATATTCTCCTAAGCCTTAGTAGCTGGAAAGGCTGGGCTTCTCCTCAGCCACTTATTTACTTCACAGACAGTGAGCATCTCCCACAAACCCTGTTTCCCTGTGTCTGCTGGGAACCTCAGGCACACTCTTGTTGTCAATCTTGAACTCATGGGGCAGAGGATTGTGTCTCACGCCTGCAACCCTCACACAGGCTCGCCTACTAGCCTCACTGTCTGAACTTGGCCCCATTTTCTCACCTGTTTATTTGGTATCTGTTCTTCTGTAAGCTGCCTGAAATGCTTTCTGGAACAAGTCAGAAGAATGAGTGGGTAGATAAATGGACAGATGCACAGGTGAGAGATGGGCAGGCAGACAGAAAGATTCCAAGAAAAGGGGGACAAAGAAAATTTCCTATGTAAAACCCTCTTCTAGTCAGGGAAGAAAACCACCACGGAGAAGTGTGAAGAGGCAGGTGGCTTAGGACTGTTTCCTGGATTCCATGAAATGTCACACAAAGAGATGAGAGGGTAGAACTATAAACAATAAAAGAAAAAAAGCAAGCATGCTTGAAAAAAATATCTACAATATGTACTTTCTAAAGAATAGATTCAAATCAGCAGGACCCAATAACACAATTCTTGGGTATTTACAGAAGTGAGAATCCCACCTCCAAACCACAAGGCATCCCTTTGGAGCGCTGAGAGTCTACACGGGGCGGTCATAAAGCCGTCACCGCGAAAGCTATGCTATCCTGCACTTACGAGGAACGAGGAGCTGAGCTCGTCTGCCCACACGCGTCATTTACAACCCACAGCACATCTATGGGGGTGACGCCTAGCAATCCCCGTCTCTGCAGGACAGGAAACAAGTCCAGGAGAGGCTAAGCCAACCTACCAGTTCTCCATCTCACAGGACTGGTCACTCCAGAGCAAGACTCGAACTCGGACCCACGTTTTTAACCACGGTGCTACCGTGCTTTGTGTGCTTTTTGTGTGTAATCATACATTTGTTTCTGGCGTGAAAGGATATTTAATAAATGATCGGTTGCCTTGTCTACCTCATTAGCTCACAATTAATCTTTATACTGTTGAACTGCACTCTTTTCCCTTGGAGAAAGGAAGGGAAAGAGCGGGGATCAGAATGAGGTGGGGCTCCATTCTTTATCTGGTACCTCGTCTCACCCAAGAACTCCCCAACCAGAGAGAAGGAGCGCATGTTCTCTACATCTTTTAAAGAGAGGGCTCCACCGATGTTGACTTAGTCAATTTCAAAACCGAGGCTGGGGGGAAGGACACATGAAGCAACCAAAGCAATATCACCTGTGGGAAGGTGAAAAGAGCTCACGGGAGAACTCAGGGGGTCAGCCTGATTTAATTTCAATCAATAAAATATCACACTCTAAAAATACTAGCTTGCAATGGGTTTGATCTTTCTTGACATCTAGCAAGTTTCCACAGCCCACATGTAACATTATCGTGAACAAGTGAAAGGAAGAGTCTACAGACGAAAAAATCAATGCCACAGGCAGGCTGAGACCCAGGCTGGAGGAAAGGAAGAGAAAGGGCATAGTTAAGAAGTGGGGAAAGGCTGGAAAAAAGACATCATCGCAAGGGCTGGCTCTCAAGCATCAACCCAATAATCGTATAATCATTCATTAGAGAGAGTTACTGAGGTCCTTTTGTGTGCAAGACTGTAAGAGGGCGAAGCAAGAGCGAAGAGACCATGGTGGCAGCAAGGGGCGGGGCTCAAATACAAGTAACTTCAGACCGCGGTACCTTGCACACTTGTCCTCAGTATAAAGGCAAAAAAAAAGTGTACAACAATATTCTGTAGGCTCAAAGCATTGTTGAAAAAAATTAAAGAAGATCTAAATACCTGGACAGACACACCACGCATATTCCTCGGTCAGAAGACAGTGCTCTTGGGATGGCAATGCTCCCCAGAGCGATCCGTATATTCAACGTGGTCTCGATCACAATCCCTGCGGGCTCCTCTGCAGAAACTGACTAGCTGCTGCTACAATTCATATGGGACTTCGAGGGTCTCAGTAACCAAAACATACTTGGAAAAGAAGAACAACGTGAGAGGACTCGAAATTTTCAACTTCAAACCTTACAACTGTATCTCCAGGTGAGATTAGAGGCCATTTTTAAGTTATTACTGCGTTTATCCTTATTTTCTAAATTCTCTACAATGAATATAACTGTTACAATAAGAAAAATAAAAAGTAAGGTATCTTTCAAATCATGCACACCGATTCATTCACTGGGAAAAAAAAATAACTATAAAGAGGTAAACAAATATCTAGTGAAAAAGGACTACTTAAAAACAAGAGTTCATTTACATTTTCCATACAATGAAAACTGAAAAGCACAAACACATCAAGTTTCTAGGGAGACTGGTGTAACATATTAATAGTTATTTTCAAAAATTCTAATTGAACAATGAAAACTCAAGAAAGGGAAAATTGTGATTGGCAGCCAACTGCAAACACATGGAGAGCAAAGGCCTAGAAATCCCAGGCCCTGTAGCTCTGCTACTAACTCAGTAGGAGAGGAAATTCCTCACTGAGGGGACAGTGGAATCCCATGCATAAGACAGGTTACATAGTACAAACTGCACTAGACGTGGGGGTGATTTTTTAGAATTCTAAAGGTAGAACATTGTTGAAAAACTATAAAAACACTGAAAGACAGATTAAAGCACACACACATATATATTGTATATAAATGTACCATGTCTGCTTCCATGTTGCATAGAAATACAAACTTACATTTGTTCATTTATGGGCCCTGATTACTTTATCCCAGGTAGAATATTGCAACAAAAACAAATAATCAATAATACACCCCTCTTGTCAAATCAAGTTTATTAGTCTGCTATGTAATAATAATGTGTCAAAGATAGATCTAAATTATTGAAAATATCTTTGTATGGTTTCTCGAAGTCTTCCCAAATTTCCAAGCTTAATTTTAAAATAGATCTGAGCAGTATTTCTATATTATCTTTTCCCTCGTGAAATGAACAACACAGTCTATTGTCAAAATTCTGTCCTTACAATGATTCACGAGCACCGTATCCTAACAAAACTGTTGGACAGCAAGGCACTATCCAGACACTGTGACCAAACAAAATGAAACACAAGGAAGACAGTGACCCTATTCTGGAGGGCTTATAATCTATGTCAACACTGGGGTTTTTATTTGAGTGGTTAACAAAATAAAATCAATCATGTGCTTTCTTTGAGCATTCTGTAAGTCTTGACTCTGTTTTTAGTGTCATGAGCAGGAAAGACTTAAGCATGACTTTATTAGATCAATTAGCAACAGTCATCACTGGAGGGTGAGTAATAAAGAAATTAACTGACAGCAGTTCTTCTGCCTACATGAGACCTAAAATAAACCTACACTGAGCTCTGTAAGGAAAATGAGGAGATGAGGTCCCAAATGAGAAAAAAAAAAAACTAACAAGAAATCAAAAAAGTAAAGATTTTACATTAAGGACTGTGGGAAGGAGTAGAGAATGCTGGTGAAGAGCACAGATGCTGGGGACAAGCATGTGGGTCTGAAATCCCACAGCACCACCAAGTAGCTGGTGACACTGATAAGTCAGTGAAATTATCTATGTCTCAGTCTCCTCTTCCAAAGACCAGGGACAACAGCACCCGTCTCCTAGAACGGTCCTAAGAATTAAGTTATTTTATATATAAAATTTTATATAAAAATACCTCAGATCTTAAATATGACCCCAAAAGCACAAGGAACAAAGGAAACAGAGATAAACTGGAGTTCGTCAAAATTTAAAACTTTGCTTCAAAGGACACTATCGAGAAAGTGAAAAAACAACACACAGGAGAAAATTTTTTCAAATCATTTATCTGATAAGGAATTTTTATCTCCAAGATAAAACAACAACAACAACAACAACAACTCAAAAATAAAAAGACAACTCTATTAAAAAATGAATAAAGGATATGAAAAGATATTTTTCAAGGAAAATATACAAATAGCCAATAAGCACAATGAAAAGATGTTCCTTATCATTAGCTGTAAGGGAAAATCAAGACAAAACCACTAGGAGAAACCGCTTCACACTCACAACAATATGTTATAATC